TCAGCTTAGAGGGAACACTGACTGTGGCAACTCTAGCCATAGGTCTGGTCCTTCGGAACACTCTGCCCAGGAGGAAGCCGTTATAGCTGACATCTAGCTAGCAGCCGAAGATCATTCCATCTGCTGCTTGGCTGACTGGAGTTATTAAGTCCCACTGTTCTGGCTCGTTAAGATTCTTGCGGCTAGTCTTTTAGATGCAGGGCCTTTTCTTTGGTGGCCACACATCTTGCATGAAATGATTTTTAAACCGTAACAAACAGATGACGCAATGTATTATTTATGTAAACATCAAGAAAAATGGTTTTAAGTAAATAAGTGGATGGTGCAAATTATTTTTTTAAAGAGGTAAGAGATGGGATATTGCTTTTTAAACAAATGCATCAGAAATGTATTGAATTCTGTCAGGTGGCATTTAAGGAGGGGAGGGAGGGGGCACCGGGTGGGGGGGCTGAGGGTCATGCCCTGCCCGAGAAGGATGGCACCGTGAGGAGGTGCCTATGGAGGAGTGCTGATTGCTATGCTGAAGCATATCTGCATTACGTGGAGCGGTCCACGCCTGATGGATCATAGGAAAAGTCATTGGGACCAAAGTGAGAGTAACAAGGCTGGTGCTGGATCCTTACTTTCTAAAGTTCTATAACAAGCGGAAAACTTATTTTGCCCATGATCCTCAGCAGCAGTGCCTTGTGGGAGACATCGTGAAAGCTTTGCCAGTGTGGAGGAGCAAGCATGTGAAACACGAACTGGCAGAAATCGTGTACAAGGTTGGGAAAGTCATTGATCCTGTGACCGGGAAGCCCTGTGCAGGATCGAAACTCTTGGAAAGTGTAACAGACTCAGAAAACCTCACTGATAGAGACACCAGCTTCCTTAGTGAAAAACTTCAAGAGCTAAACTTCAAGAGCTCACTGTTTCCTCTCCAGATAAATGAAGGGGAGGCGAGGCTTTGCAAGACGGGACTTATTCTTTCATATCTCTGTGAAGGGGTTGTACATGGCATGGTGCTTCTGTGTTTTTAAAGATGGTGGCAGTTAATAATAAAATGGAGTTAACTTAAAAAAAATTATTGAATCGGACAGCAACTTGTCAATCATCACCCAGCCCTCAGGATGTTAAGATGGTGGCAGTTAATAATAAAATGGAATTAAAAAAAATGTATTGAATTGGACAGCAATTTGTCAATCATCACCCAGCCCTCAGGATGTCAACCTCCTCATGGGGCCTGGAGCTCTCCTGGAGTACAACAGACGGGGTCATTTCGTAGAAAGAGGTGCAGGAGCTCATTAGCATAACTTATTAGCATATGCCACACCCCCTGACATCACCGGACGTGTGTCAGAAGGCAACACCCACCACTCAGGCTCCACTGGACTGTTTTGGACTGCTAGCTATTGGGGGGGGGGACAACGTGCAGATCTGTCCTCACAGAGGAGGGAGAGCTTGTACTTCTTGCTCCTCTGGCCCAACTGAGGGCTGCTGGGGGCAGGGGGCGGGGCTTGTTACATGTGCCCACCCCCTGAGCTCCTTACTGCCGGAGCTCCGCTCCTGTGCGCTCCGAGGAAATGACTCCTGACAACAGATGTCAATATGACAGAGAGCAGTTCCCCTTGAGTTTCCAGCTGTGGATGGAAAATACTTGGATATTTGGGGGGTGGAACCTAGGGAACGGCAGAGTTTGGGGTGGGGAGGGACCTCAGTAGAGTATAATGCCATAGAGTCCACCCCCCAAAGCAGCCGTTTTCTGCAGAAGGGCTCTTGACTGTCCGGAGAGCAATTGTAATTGTGGGAGATCTCCAGGTGCCACCTGGAGGTTGGCAACCCTAAAAACGACAACTTTGGAAGGCACTCTATGCCATTAAATCCCTGTGGCGCTTGCTTGCGCCCTCCCTAAGCTTTACCCATACATCTCCAGTCATTTCCCAGTTCAGAGTTGCCCACCTGACCCTGGCTTCCTGTCAGGACCCACAGCAACAACGAAGCACACACTTCCCAGAAGGTTTTACTTTTATTGAAGCTATAGATGCATGGACAGGAACACTGTTAGGAATGGCGGGTGATCTAAGTGCATGGCAGGTTATAGTACATTCAAATCAGCAAGACCCAATTACTGGGGTTCCCGCGCGAGGGCATTAGGCATGGGTATAAACAGCTACAATAAACATAACAGGTAAAGCTTCCCACGACTCATCCCAGGGAAAGCCAAAGCAACTTCTCCAGCACCTCCTCCAGCGGCCTTGAAAGATACCCGCTGCGGCAGCGAGGCAATAAAGCGCAAGGGAAGGAATGCGCATGAAACAGAAAAACACTTGGCAGCTTGCTGACACTTCCTCCTTTGGAAGCGATGCCCTTCTTCCGGGGGGCGTGTCCGAATCCCCGCATCACCTGCGCAGACGAGCCCAAAGAACCAAGCTGTCTCTTCCTGCCCTTCTAGACATGGCGGATCCCCACTGCACGGGGGAGCTCTTCCGCCACACTCAGAATGACGTCACGCTGTCCCCGCCCGCCCTCCGTTCGGATTGGTCCCGGGAGGAGACGTTTCCGCCTGGGCGCCCAATCGCCTCCTTTGTTTTCTTCCCCGCCTCAGCGGAGGCCTGGCGGTGGACCTTGAGGAGAGAGATCGTGAGAGAAGGCCGCCGGGGATGCGTCGCTGCTGGGGGCCCTGCGTGGCGGCGCGGCGGCTCTTCCTCCCCGGCGCTTCCGGCGGGCCGCGGCCTAGCGCCGTCGCCATGGCGACCGAGGCCTGCCCGGGCCTAGCCGGCGTGGAGGAGGCGCTCCGCCGCGCCGTCCCGCCGCTGCCGCCGTACGAGACGAGGGAGAAAGCGGCGGGGCCGGCCGG